TTTATTAATATAAATAATTAGAGGCTGCTAATTATCCCTTTATTAAAATAATAATTAATCTATAGCTGTTAGATATAATAAATCTATATAAAATATATTATAAATTCCAGTAGATATATCTAAACAGATAAAATAAATATTTAATATTTTAATAATTTAATATTTTATATTTTTCTAGTCCAGCTTCTTACTCAGCTGGTTAATATTAATATTTTTTAAATTTAATTAAATTATATTTCTAGTCTAGTATATTAAGACAGGTAATTATAATTAATTTATTTATTATTTTATTTTTTATTAAATATATATTAATAATACTCTAGCCCAGTTACTAGTTTTTTTAATAATATAAATAATATATTCTTCCACTTGTACTAGACTCCGGAGGGTCTTATTATATAAAATAAATTAATTTTTAATAAAATTAAAGAAGAATAGCTTATATTTATAACTTAAAAAAACAGAAATATACTAGTAGATATTAAAGTTTAAATATTAATAATTAATTTAATAAGTAGAAGAAGCTTGCTTTAATTATTTTATTTATATTAAATATAAATTCAGAGATAGATTTTTATAATATTATTTATTTATTCAGTGGCTCTGTCTATTTAGAAATAATATATTATAAATAATTATTTTTTAATATTTATTAATAAGTATAATTATTCCTAGATTTTATTTATGAATTATATTTTATAATCTAAAATAATTATTTATAATAAGCTATATTAATATATATAACTATCTAGAACTATCTAATTTAAATTTTTAATTATTATTTTTTTTATAACTGCCAACACCACTCCTTTTATAAATTAATTTATAATAATTAAAATATTTATATAATTATTATTCTCTGGTAGTCTAATAATAAAATTTATATTAATATTTTATTATAAATATTTAGAAACTAGAAGAGATTTTAATAATTTATATTTTTTTTTATACTAGACTTTTGTCTTTCTGCAGGTATTATAATTTTATATAAATATTTATATATTTTATATTATATTAGATTAGAAATATTTCTAATTTATTATTAAATATATCTGTTCTTAATCTAAATATTTAATTATTAGTAAATTATAGGCTTTCTGTATTAGTCTCATCTATAAAAATTTATAATTAAGAATTTATCTTTATTTTTTAAAGATCAGGTTTCCTTATAAGTCAATTATATATTTTAAAATTAAAACTTTTTATTTTAGACTAGATAAGAATCTCTGAATATTCTTTTAAATTATTTATTTAATTTCTTAATATTAGTTATTCTGTTTTTTAATTTTTTTTTATAATAATATTATATTAACAGGTACAAAGATTATTTTTAAGAATTTAATCTAGATAATTCTGCAGTATTTTTCTAACTAGAAAAGTTAGAAAATTTATATAATAATTTATTTATTTTAGTAATTAAGTATATTTTAATTTTTTTAAGAAAATATATTAGCTTAATTATTCTCTATATTTTTTTAATAGATAAAGAAGAAATTAAATTTACTGAAAAAAAGATTTTACTAGATATATTTTTTTAATAATTTTTTTAAAGTATAGAAGTACTTCAGGTTCTTATAATTTATAATTATTTTAAATTCAGAAATAGAATATAGTTTAATATTTTAAATTTCTATATATCTAATAATAGCTAATAGTTTCTTATTATAAATCTTATAATTATATTTTACAGGTATTAATTATTTTAAAAAATAAATATATAGATATAATTTCTCTTTCTTATTATATTAGAATAAGTATTTTTTTAAATTATAATTTTTAGAATTAGTCTCTAGAATAGTTTATTTATTAGAATTAAAAAAGATAAATACTAGTTCTGTATAAAATATTTTTTTTAAATATAAGAAATTCTTCTAATATTCCTGAGTTTACTAAAATTATATATTTTTTTTAGTAAGATTATAAAAAGACTTAAGTAATTCTAAAAAATTTAGTATAAATTAATAATAAAAATTAATAAATCTAATAAATTTATATATTTTTTTAATTATTATAGATAGCTTTTATTCTTAGATTATATAAATTTTTTTTAGATTTATACTTACTTCCTGTCTAGTTTTAATAATAAATCTTAAATACTTTATTTTTTTCTGCTTAAATTTATATTTATTAATATTTAAATATAATCTAATATTTTATAATTTAATCAGGACTTTTCAGATCTGCTTCTAGTATTATTATAAAATTTTAATTAAGAAAATAAGTATATTATCTAGATAAATAAAGTAGAATTTATCTAAGTATTTTTATAAGATTTAGTTAATATATTTCTGAAAGATATTAAAAATATTTATAAGTTTAAATAAAATAACTAGTTACTTATAAAATTTATATTAGATATAGAAAGCTGTTATCTATTCTTATTCTTTAATAATATATATCTTATAAAATATTATAAAAATATCAAGCTTAATAAACTATTATATTTTCTTAATTTAATTTAATATTTCATGGATTAAAGGTAGCAAGTATTAATTTTTTTTTATAATAATATTTAATTTATAATAATTAATATAAAAACAGAGATCTTTTTTTAATTTTTAAATAAAGAATACAGAAGCTACAGCTAATAAATTATTTATTTAAATAAATTCTTTATTTAATAATTCTATAAGTTTTTTTTTAAGTATAATAAGTTCTTTCTAGAATATATTATATAAGAATTCTTATAAAGACTGGGATATCTTTCTATTTTTCTTTTCTAATTTAATAGAATAATTAATATTAAATTTATAATATAGAAATAAAACTTCTATATTTCTTAATTTAAATAGATTTAAAAATTACTAATACTATTCTAGCAGCTTATTCTTTAAATTTAATTTAGATTTAATATATAAAATCTTTTTTATATTCTTTAAAAATATAGTAAATATCTTTATTCTTAATTTTAATATTTTTTTTTCTTAATCTATACTTAGAAAACAGCAGCTAAAATCTAGATAAAAATATATTTAAACTAGAATATTTATATTATCTTAATCTAGGTCTAGATTATCTAAAGATAAATTTAATTTTAATTTAATTTAATTTTTTTATCATAGTACTCTAGTTAAGAGAGACTTAAGATAATATTATACTTTAAATTATAATTAAATATATATATATATAATCCTGATTCAGTATATACCCTAATATCTAGATATATTTAAATAATATAATTAATTATCTTTCTTTTTTTAATTCTAGATACTAAAATTAGAATAATAAAAACCAGGTCTAACTTATTTTTCTTTATATATTTTAAATTAATAATATTATAAATAAAATATTTAATATTAATTATAATACAGACATTAGCTACTCAGTTAATAATAATTTTTAAAAATAATAATTTAAAATTTATATACTTCTTTTTAAAAGTCTTTTATTAAAAATAATTCTTTTTATTTAAAAATTTCTGTTTATAATTTTATACAGAAATTATTTTTTTTTCTAATTTTTATCTTATTTATTATCTATGGTTTTTTTTATTAAATATTTTTTATATTCTGTAGTAACTGCTCAGACTAAAAATTAAAATATAGATTTTTAATAATAATCTTAAATTAAATATTTATTTTTTTTATATTAAAGATAGAGACCTGCTTTCTTTTTTTATTATAATTTTTTAATTAAAATTTATTTAATAAAATATAGATTATACTAATTCAGGCTCTTAAATTAAGCTATATATTTTTATTTTTTATTATTTATTATTAAGATAATATATTTCTAATCTATAATATTTCTTATATTATTTATTAAAATTATATAGAAATTATAAATCTATATATATTACTAGCAGTTCTAATATTTTTTTTTAAATATTATTTATTTTATATTATAGCTATATTATTAAAGCTAATTATAATATTTTTTATAAAAAAAGCTTTTCTCCAGGCTAATAATAGCTTATAATAATATATAATTAATTAAGTTTTTTAATACTATAATTTTAAAAATATTTTTTTATATTACGCTATTTGCCTGGGTCAGGATAATATTAAAATTTTTTAAAAAGTCTTTAAAGCTCTTATTATTCTATTAAAGAAAATATAACTTTTTTAAAATTTTTATTTTTTAATTCTTATTTTTATAGATTTTATCTAGTTTCTTTATTATCTTTTTATAGATAGCTGTACTGTCTATATTTTAGTATTATAATAAGATTTTTTTTTCTATATTTTTTTTTAATTATTTAAATATATAAATTACCCGGGATGTATTATCTGGATATATAATTAAATTTATAAAAAATTTAAATTATAAATATATTTTAAATCTAAGATAATTCTTTTTATTTTATCTGTTAAAGAATTTAACTTCTAAATATATAAATTTTAGTTATAGAATTGTATATTAAAAGAAAAAAATAATAATATTATAAAAAATATTATTTATAGCTTAAATATTAATAATATTTTATAATTTTATAATATATTAATTCAGCTGTTCGTGTTTATTCTATTAAATTTATTAATAATAATTTTATTAATTTATTATCTATTATTCAGTCCTCTTTAATTTATTAATAAGATTAGTAAGAAATTATAATTATATTATATTATTTATTATTCTTCTATTTTATTTTATTTTATTTTATTATATTTTATTAGTTATATAATCAGATTCTATACTGTAGATTTATTTAAAAAGTTATTTCTAATATTAGAAGTTGCTTCTTAGTTCTAAGAATATATTATTTATTAAATAAAAAGAAATAACTGCTGTTTAGAACAGGGCCTCAGAGATCCTGAGGTTTTATATATTATATTTAGTTAGCAGGCAGCAACGAGGCTGGTTAGCTGTGTCCTCTAGTAGGGGCTTGTCCTATAACAATAAGTTAATAGAAAAGATTATATATATCAGAAAAAATAAATATATTAAAAATGGAAGATGGATGAAAAATAAAGAGATAATAATTTATAAATAACTAATCAGCCAGTTATAATACTCTTTTACTATTTTTATTATATGACTTTGCTTTATATTCAGTATATTTAATTATATTTAATTGTGGCAACAACTTTCCTATATTATGAATTATATTGCTTATATATTTATTATAAGTTTGAGAGATTTAATAATATTTAGAACTATATTTTTACTTTAAATAGTGAAGCACCTGCATAGCTAGCATCTTACTTAGCAGGCTTGATCAGGTATAAGAATATGAATTGAATTGAATTGAATTGTCCCTCTAAGAAAACTGGGGGCACATGTCGCTCCGGAAATGTCGCCTTGAACGAGCACACCAGTGACCCGATTATAATATCCAGAGTTTCCGTGCCGAGAGCATCGTTGCTCGGGCCTAACAGCATGGCTGTCGAGTTGGCATCCAGAATATGCTCGAATTCGTCGCTGTCTCGGAAGAAGTTATCTCCCCATGCAATTCCCCAGTAATCCCACTGGTCAGGCTTGATTGAGTAGGGCAGCACTCGTTTGTGGTCCAGCGACTGGGCCTCGTCTCTCTGTAACAGACACCATTCTCGAAATGATGGCGGTATGACCGGGGGACTTGGAAATCCTGTCAATAGCTGTGCCAGGTCATGCCAAATTACACGCCAGGAGACCAAGTCAATGACGATATGATGAGCGCTCAGTAGCAATGTCCGGTCATCTTCAATTTGTTTTTCCCCAAAACGAGTGAATAAGTCCGCCGCGAAAACGGGTCCTTCCACAATGTCTAGCTGGGTCTGACGTGATTCTACGATCTCCTGTAGACGGCCATCCACCGCATGCTCCGCCATAGCGAACGAGTCCGCCGTTGCTGGTACGATGAGCTGCTCCCACCTCCCTATATCTGTGCCGTCACTGCGTTGTTGGAATCGGAACCGCAACATGCCGTGGCGCTTAACCAATGCCACGAGCGCGCCCCGCAGTTCGTGGAAAGTGATGGGTCGAGTTACGCGAAGCAGAAAGCTCTGTGTGTAGTGATTCAAGCCTCGTGGGTGTGCATCGAAAAACAACTGCTGCATGGGAGATACAGGCCACAATTGACCTTCGATCTCGCCGTTCAGATGATTTATCGCTTTCTGCATTGAAGCCACGGCGGCTCGACTCCGGGTAGCCAGGGCTCGAATTGTGCGCAGGCGCAGCACGTCACTCACGGTCAAGCAGATTCCTCGCGCTCGACACTGGGAAACGACTTGCATGGCTGTAATAGAGTCGCCCCCGAGACGCGTGAACGGGACATCCGTGGACACCTGATTCTCGGGTAGGTTAAGAACGGCGCCCCAGACTTGCCGAATCTCGGTCTCCCGGTCGTTCGTTGGCACGGACTGGCACGTTCCTGAGCTAACAGATGAATGATCTCCGAACTTTGTAACAGCCTCGAGTCGTAGGCTTTGTCTGTCGACTTTTCCTGTTGCAGTCATTGGAAACCCTTGAAACGGGATATACGTAGCCGGAACCATGTAGGCGGGAACCACATTGCCCAGTTGAGCATCCCACACCGCGACAGCGTCACTGGTCATAGTGGCCATGTCCGACGGGAAATCCTCCTTCAGGGGGCTCAAAAGGGCCACTAATATGGGATTCTGGGCATTCGATGGCTGGATTACATCCAGGGCGACATTTAAGCCCTTGTTCAGCTCATCTGGGAGGCACTGACGCATGTGATACTCGATTTCACCCAGTTCAACGCGCTGACCCCGGATCTTTACCTGGGAGTCCTTGCGACCAATGAAAACCAGAGACCCATCCTCACCATTGTAGCGCACGAGGTCCCCCGTCCGATACAAACGACCCCGGCGGTCTGCATTCCCCGTGGCACGTCCGCTGTGGACGAGCCAGGCTGGGTTATCAACAAACACCGCAGAGGTCTTCGCGGCATCGTTTAAGTAGCCCATCCCGACGATCGGCCCTTCTATCCATAGCTCTCCGACTGCCCCAACGGGTTGAAGCTGAGTCCCATTGAGACTAACCACCCAAAGGCAGCTTCCAACACTTTGCCCAATGGGCGGGGCTTCGCTGCTGGTAGACGGGTGGACCATTTGCAATGTAGTTGTCACGGAACATTCCGCGGGGCCATAGGTGTTGATTATCGTGGCACGGTTGCAAAACGCATCGACAAGCGACGTCTTTAGTTCCTCGCCGCTAAACTGGATGTATTTGACACTGTCTGGAAGCTTCTCTGGGGGAAACCACGCCGCTGACGGCGTCAGGTGGACGTAATTAACCTTGTACTTCAGAAGCGCCTCGGGGATACCTTGAATGCGCTCTTCGTCCGATGGAATGCATAGGCATCCTCCCGCAGTAATTGTATGCAGGAAGTTTGACCATGCCACGTCAAAGGCGTACGAGGCAAAGTCAAATACCCTCTGGCCCGGTTGAAATTTCATCGCTTGCTGCTGATGTTGAATCGCGCTGGCAAAATTGGAATGCGTGATGGTAGCACCCTTTGGTAACCCGGTGCTTCCCGAGGTAAACACAATGTAAAGTCGCGAGGTAGGAGATACCAGAGGGAGATGATCGCCTTTCAGTTCGGGCATACTGACAGAAGAAAAGCCAGAAAAGCCCTCGCCTATAACCAGCACTGGTCGTGACGACAGGTTACGTGCCTTTGATTCTTTGCCCGTTGAACTAAGAACCACCAGAGGGTCCACCTCACGGATGATGGTGCGCAGTCTCTCATCTGGCAGGGAAGTGTCCATTACCACCGAAGCTGCCCCCGCCTTCATGACTCCGAGCTGGGCCACGGGAGTCCACTTTGACTTTTCCATATGAATCGGCACAATTGTCTCCTGGATGTTGTATTGAAGTAGGAAACGTGCGAGTAATGTAGACAGTACATCAAGGTTGTGGTATGTCCACTCGCCGTCATGAGCAGAGATGGCAAGTGCGTCTGGTTGTTTTTTAACTGTGTTGACAAACAGATCGTGGATGCATAGAGATGATAGTTCGGGAACGGTGGCGTTCCAAGTCCAAATCTTGCGCAAATCATGCAGATCCACCACACGAAGGTCAGAGACAGGCTTGCCTCGGGCAGTACCACTGGAGCCCAGCTCTTTGAGAACATACTCGTATTGCTGGCATACGTATTTGATCACTCGTGGGTCAACAGTAGTGGCATGACTCGCGAATGTCAGCTGGACCTCAGTTTCTTCTAGAACGCAATCCACTAGAAGAGCCCCATGATGGAATTCCGAGAGGTCCGACTTAGTAGACTGCCGTCTAAACCAGGGTTCCACGCGAGCAACATGCTGCATACGCATTATGTGTTGAGTTGAAAGTCTCTTCTTCACACAATGCAAGAAGTCTTGAACGTCTGCTGTCCAATCCACAGAAATGTAGAACGGAACAAACGCTGTGGGAGGATGGCCGGGACGCAGTAGAGCCTGTTTATAGTTCGGTAAAATCGAAGCGAGGAACTCTGCCGACCCCGTGTGCGCCGACATAACAAGCGCCAGTGCTCCGCAAGTGAATGCTGCAATGGGCCCGGTCCGTATATCCGCTGGGAGGGAGATGCGGAGAGTGCTCAACCCAGCACCATTTGCCTTGAGAGGGGTCCCAAGGGATCCATTCGCAGCAGCGCCTCTGGTGAAGCTGGAACCCAGGATTGAGGATTTCAATATACCAGAATCCCATGGCTCAGGCTCCGGCTGTTGCACAGCCTGGCCCGGTATAATTCCGTTGGAAATCTTTGTGTGCATGTCTCGGAAGGTAGGAAGGCAAAGACCTTCGCTTGAAAGACCTGAAAATGTGTCTCGATACTGTAAGGGGAAAGAATGGTGATAAGAACAGTAGCATCTTCCCAAGCGCAATGTCGCACTTATATACGTGGGCCATTGAGCAGTGGGATTCCCCCCACCTTTTCCGCTTCACCATCACCAGCATATGGACCCCTGGTATACTTACGTGGCCTCTGTATGTTGAGCGTTTTGAGTTAATCCCGCTCCAAGGACTTCTGTAACCCTGTCCATCACAGGAAGCTTGCTGCCACGGAGCATGAAGCAAGAGAAGGTAGTCCGAAAGCTGCAGCGCAACTGCGCCATATTGATCATCAAAATAAAAGATACAGAGTAGATCAGTTGAAATCTTTGAATCCCGCAACTGTTCCTTGTTAAACAAAGGATACCCCAGTAATCCAGTGAATCATCATGTCAAGCGCTACATCCGGCCAATCTTAAGATAATTACTATAGTACCAATACTACTTGTTAGCCAATTTGGTCATTAAATCCCTCTCTCCTAATTTTACTTTAACTTACCAGATGTCTAGTGTTGTCCACAGTCACAAAGACAAAGCATGATATTTCATCCGTTCCTTCATTAACCAAAACCTGAATTTCCTTCGCAATCCCCACAGGTTCCTGGCTCTCAGAGTTAATCAAGACCCACAGAAATAAGGACTTTACTGTAAATTCTGTCTGGCCTTTCTAAGAAAGCAAGTTTATTTAATATAGATTACCAGCCATATTACAGGCAAGATCAAGATTGCCTTGATATACTAAGAAATTGATATTATTTATAAGTAAGAAAGTAATCTGCTTTAAGCTTAATACTATACTATCTACTGATTAAGCAAATATATTAATAATAGAAGTAGTAATAAATTTGTATTCAGTAATCTGTTACAGTGGCAATAAAGCCTCTTAAATAAATAATAAATTCAAATATTTCTTAATTAAAGCCGCTTTAATATAGCATATTTCATTAATTTTATAAGATACAGTGACTGTCGTTATTATTAGTAATAATTTTGTTATAAGTCTCTGATAATAATAACTCATTATTAAATCTGTTACAGCCATCAGTGCCAGCCTTATTATTATATCATCCTATAATATTATCATAACAGACGGACTGGGCTGCATGATATATCACAGGGTCTGAGTATTAAATATATATATTATATAGATCTATACAGTGCAGTATATTCGCCGCTATAATATCATATCTAGTTTCATTAAAGATAGGAGATGGGACTCCTGGATTAATAGTACACAGTATTTCCTAGTACCCGAATGTTGCATCCTTGGGTGACATAAATCCATTACCCACCAAGCATGATTTCAGCGGTATCCTGGAGCTATCTTTATACAGTTTATTTTGTTCCAAGATTTGGGTCACCAGATAAGGAATGTACCAGCCCTACACAATATATTACAAGGTAATTGTTAGAACACTGAGCAAGCTTTTTCTGGGGGCGGCTTCTATCTTACTGCGTAAGATTCACCGGAAAGGTGAACGGGAAGGAACTATTTATAAGGAAAAATCTCAGATATGAATAATTATAAGAATCTATACATGTCCACTGCAGCTTTATATAAATCATGAGACAGCTCATAGCCTTTATTAATATAGGAAAACCCGACATCAACTAGCTAGTTAATAAAAAAAAATAATAAATTCTTAGTCCAGACCTAGAGATTATAATTTATTATATTTCTAAACTCATTAATCCAGCAAGGACCAACTTCTTCAAAAAGTCTAATCATACTCAAGTCTCCTGGGCCCCCAGTCATCCATAGTATTAGGGGATTATGGAAGGGGTTATTCTGGCTTTCAAAATATCAAAAAAAAAGATGATTTGGGCTAATGTTGAGCTAACCAGTGAATTAGAGTAAATAAATATCATAGATCAAATTATTCTGCTCCTGGATGCGAATTAAATATATCAGTAAGTATAGGCTGTGAAACACTGTAAAGGGATCAGCCCTATCTAGCCCTAATATAGTCTGCGTAGCGGTATATATTATGCTGCTGAACAGGACAGTCAATAAAAGAGTGATTATTAAACAGGATAGGTTATAAAATATTAAATTTAAACTGGTAGTAGTAATAGTACTGGAGAGATTAGTTTAATCAGCTTTATAAAGTCAGTTTAATTTAATAGATAAAGCTATTATTATATAAGTATTAATTAGTTAGTGAATTCTAGCCAAAGAGAAAAAATAGAAAAAGAGAAGAGTGAGAAATGGAATAAACACAAGATAATATAATTTTATTTAAATATAATACTGCTTAGTTATTTTTATTAATTATAAAATTTTTCTTTTTTAGAACCTTTGCATTCTTTCTAATAAAATTATAAAATCGACTGTCCAAAATTATTGTAGAGTTTTGGAGCTTGAGATTCTTTTAAAATATACAGCTAATTAAATGACCCTGATATGATAGAACTGTGAATCTAGAAAATATGCTTAATGGATGTTTGCATTCTGGAAGGGGTGGTGGATGTTATGGGTCACAGGGTACACTATGCTACTGTGGCAGAAATGGGCTTGGCAAACAGGGCGCTGCCGGACCTGTCAGTGGGGGGTGGTGACATGGATGACGTCGAGCAGAATCCCCAAGAAAACTACTCTTCTAACTGTATCTGTAAAAACTTAGAATATTGAATCAAAATTATCAATAATACTAAAATATATTATTACATTTCCTATTAATTTTCCACATGCACCGCCTGCCAGTACAATCTATGCGATGCTTTTGCTTTCCGGAACAAGCCAGGAAATTGGTAATCTTCTAGCTTCTGTGGGCGTTGCACTTCCCTGGAGAGCTTGTTCCGAACTGCTTGGGCTTCTGATGGACCCGTTACTATTGACTCACGTGATTTCACATTTCTCTAGGTTAGAACAAGATATCGATGTTGTAGTTTTTATCTTGACTTTCTCAGACTTCACGAAAACACCAGTCTTATTCGAGCAGGCCGTGTTTCACCCATTGATTGACCGTTTGTTACTTTGTTATTGGTTGCCGCTGATATGGAATGATGATGGCAGGCAACTTGTCTTTTACTTCGGTGGGTTTGTCGATGTGTAGAAACTGCGTATCCGACAGCAGGACCCTTCCTGGCTGAAATCCGAAAAACAACGCGCGGAGTTAAGAGAGATAAGGTCTTTGGAGTAATCGGAGAAACGTGTCTCAGCGGCGCGTATACGCGCTTGTCCAGTATTATCCTCAAAGTGGGGAAGTACATCCACCCGGTGAAAAACACTCAGCATCGGGCTGGATCGGATCAACGCTAATTTCTTGGATTATTTGAAGACAAGGAAAGCTTGGGCGACACTTGCCCATGGGCCCAGCGTTTCCAGGAAGTAACAGGACAGGCCGACAAGGCCATCGGCGTCATTTATGAGGCCTGCAAGAAGCACGGCTACGCCACTATAACTATTTGTTTGTTTTTTTATTTATTTTATTACTTACTGCGTTTCAGCGCCTTGCGGATCACGCCGGAGGACCTAGCTGGATTACCTAATCCTACCTGATCTCTTGTAAATACTTGCCAGGCGGATAAGTACTAGCAGCAGCAGCAGCGGCGATAAGTTCAGTAGTAAGCAATGGAAGGAGAGCGAAGAAACTGAGAAAGCAAGAAGCCGACCCCAGGATGACCATAGATATTGACATTCCCGTGGCGCCAAACAGCATCAGTGTCCGACGACCAAAGTGCTCAATGGTGAAAGGACGCCAACCCTGCGTTCGTCGCTTCTGATTTGCTGAGTCAGGCAGGCCTCCGCAATGCCAGTTCACCTGCTGGGTGACCCAAGCGAGCCATAGATGCGCACGGGAAGGATTGAGGCAATTCTTTAGCAGCGGTAGTGACGCTTGAGGTGCTCTTGGCGACGGAGAACCGGCGCTTCCTCCTTCCACCTTCCGTGTAACCGCCGTCTTTCTCAGTTGAGCGGCTTAACTTCCGGAGAACCCTGTTGGACGAGAGCAATCATAGCAAGAAATAGTTTCATACTGGGCTTGAGCCGAGATCCAGCACGCAATATTTGTTGCTGTGATGGAGTTGTTGCCGAGTTGAAGGTGAAGCTGCAGGATGCGGAAAGGCCAGATTGGTACAGGCCGAGTTCGCCCATATTCTCCTCGGCACAACCGGTTTCGTCCCAGAGGCGGAGTTGGATAACTCGCGCGTCGGTGGTGTGCAAGGTTAGTGTACCCAATGGGGCCGGCTATCTGGCCAAGCGCAATGGCCCATCGTCTAGGCGATGACATTACGACCGTATACCTACTTCTCCGATTGCCTCCTGAAATACTATTTCGGTTTGTTTCCTACATGTTCATTACCGAAGAAATATGCCTCGCCATGACCTGCAAGCACCTATATGCAAAACATGGTCCAATTCCAAACCCGGAGTCGTTGCAAAGCCGTGGACAGCTGGCACCTATCCCCCAGTTCTATCACAGGCATGCTTTGGTCACCATGCGATGGAAACTTATCCGCTATTTAGAGAATAGCTGTTGGCAGGCTTGTTTCCGGTGCTTAGCACTGCACCCACCAGCTTAGTTTCCTATGCAGAAGCGCAAGCGGAAATCTGAAGAGCTACACTATAATCCCACCCTCCAGATTACATAAACATCGTATTAAAAGATAAACGGATCCATGAAATTCGAGAGAAACACGAGTGAAAAGGCGGCTATTACTTTAGCTGGGTAGGGTGAAGAGTCCAGCCCATTTCTCTTTCTCTCTCTCTCTGTGTGTTCCTCTCACTCTCAGAAGCCAGGGATACCCAGAACCCTAGGTTGCGGTTCTATGCCTCTCCTTGTGTCCTAGCGTATAAGCCTCTGTAATTCTTCTCGTATTTATCTTCTGTCTTTCATCCACCACTATCTTCAGGACATGGGGTGCACTTCTATAACCTAGATTCCTTGGGGAGATCAGGGCCGGGGACTCTTCCGAAAGGCCTCACTACACAGCACCTTGTCATAAAGGCGGCTCGCCCTCCCAGCCCTCCAGGGGAGCTTTTTCAGTATTTGACGTAACGAACAACGGGCGAATACTTCGACGTGAGACTGGGTGAGATATCTAAGTTCTTTTCATACCCAACGTTCTCTATATTTGATTCGTCTGCTGTGCTCACAGGTGAAGCAGACACTGTGTTTCAGAATGCAACAAGAAAGAATATAGTATATTCAGTATTCTATATACATCATACTGTTTCCGAGGGTTGAACTCAAGAAGAACACTACCCCAGGGAGGTTGAATCCTGAGGCTTCTACCAAAACCTATCCGTGAGCTGACGAAAATCACAGCCTTTCGTCACTGCTCAAGGACTACTCCAAAAGTGAATGTCATGCCCACTCTCAATCACGATATCCAGTGTCGTTCAAAGTTTCGCAGCGGGCTGGATTGTCTTCGACTCCTCAGCTGATAATTCTCTGTTAACATATCTGTTCGAAATCTCAATAGTGTTACTTTTTTGTTGTTTGGCTGTAAAGGTGCCGGAATTTCCGTATTGATCGTAAATACGGAACCACGCATCTGCTTGCCAGTTCGGAAGGAACGAGACATAGGCATTTCCGAACAAGATGCGGGTAAGGGTCAATGCATTTGGTCTCTGATTGACCGTAACATAAGCGGTTGAATCGAGATTGTTGTAATCATTTTGCCAACGCACACCACGCCATGACTGTCGTGAATTCCCCATTTGCGGCAGAAAAAATATGCTGACTTCTCTGTCGTTACCCAATCCCATATAGGCAAATGCGTCCCGGAAATAAGTACCGTAACCATAGGGCTGCGTTGACCCATTAACATCCACGTTATAACGATCCACCTTCACAAATGGATAGCGTTTGGAAGTTAAGTAGTAGTTGTCTTGGTCCCAAAGATATCTATACTTGATCCATTTTCCATTTTCTCGAACCTCCTTATACCAATAGCCGTAGGCCGTATCTTCTCGTTGGACGGTAACATCATCCATCGTGTAAGTGATTGGTGCATGGCCGCGAACAGTAATACTGGAATCAAAGTTGCCACCAGTAGTAGTAACCGTTGATTCTGTCGCGCCATGCTCAGTAATCTGAGCGCCGATCCTCAGAGATTCAATCCTGGTTGTTGAGACCCAGAAGATAATAGTTTGAGTATCATCCGCAATAGGCGTAATAGGTGCAACCAGCTCCTCATCAGCAGGGCTTCTTGTAATTGGCATATTGTGGGCAAAGTCTTCCTTCTCAACCGTCGAGTAAGTCCAATTTCCCGTCAACTCCTGCCGTTTGTTATAATCAATCAACTTTAGACTCTGGAGGTCCGACTGGGTGAGCTGGTAGGTTGCCCATGTGTTTTGGTTGATGGCCCTGATTCGGACATTAATCTGCGCCTGCATCTGACCATTGGCATAAATGTCGGTTAACGTCTCGCCTTGGGTATTTGTGCTTAGACTGAAAGTCGTAATTTCCCATGGGACGCTCATTTTGGTAGCACGAAGAAGTCTATAGCAGACAGAAGCAAGGAAGAGAAGAAATAATCGATGGGTCAGAAGATTGAAGGACGATGAGGGTTACTTTAGTTTTCTTTCTTGGAGCAGGTCAGGGTGACATTATATATTCTAGGCCCCTATATTGTTTCACATTGTTGTAGGGATCTGAATTTAGTTGCTGTATTTCTGCGGAGGAATATCTGACGAGAGGGCAAACTCTGGGAAAGTTAATGGCCAAGACGAATATCCCCCTAGGCTCTTCTGAATTCCCTGACTGTATTTTTAATTACGTGCACTGCCAGCTGGTTAACTACGAGTACAGTGTTCCTCTAGTTGTACGACACTAGCATCTCATCCACATGATTGGCTCCGCGGTCAGGCTATTTGTTAGCTGCTCCTCATCTCGATGATGGCACCATCGCGCCAGCCATTGGACTTAACCAATGAGGATTAGGGCAGCCGAAGGGAAGATGCTCCCACACTATTTTGCCAAGCCGCCGCACTTCGGGGTTTGCTTTGATTGAATGACGGTCAAGCTAGAAGATCTGGCACGGTAAGACAGGGCCTAGAAACCTCTATTAACATAGGGGGAGAAGGGTGGTTACGCGATCCTAAGCCCAATATGATACTGACCTGCATTAGCCAGTCCTCTATACCTCCTAGTGAGACTCTAGTCGGGATTTGAAAATGGAGAAACTCTCACGATCTTTGATTGAGGTCAGTACTCATCTAATTATTCAGTTTGATTCCTCTATGAGCAGGATCTTTCTTTTCGTGTCAATTGGATACCTACTCTGCACCGGGTTTGCGTAGCTCGGACATCGCCGGCCGACGGGCTTCGTGCCACCCGCCCTGACACAAGCATTGCTCCTGATTTTCGGAGTAGACAATCTCTTTGATAAGGATCCGGCCGGATGCTCTCGATGACGAGGCCCGGCTGATGTAGACTTTTTCACTCTGGACTAGTCTATACTCCATTTTTTAGTTACCATAATTAATGTAACCACCGTATTGTGCCAAGCTTCTTCCGCCATCCACTCTATCGATGGAGAACTTGTACCAAGTAAATGTTGTGTCTTCGCCGTTGGTCCGAGGCACAGCTTGCCAGAAATGCTTCCTACAGAAGGGCCCGCTGCCACATGCGTGAGGAATTTGGAGATCCCACCTCAACCATGGTCGCATTTACCGAAACGATTTCCTTGCTTAACAGAAAATGATACCCGCATGAGCCACCTCGAAGGCCTGGTGATATTTCCCGATATTCCGCAGCTAAGTGCTCCTGCCAGTCTAACCAGGTGCGGGGATGTGAGACCCGTGGAGAAGGTGGCTCAGCCTGAGCATCATGCAACTGGCCACACAAGTGATCGGCTTCATTCGGGGATTGACAGTAACAGGACGTGATTCAGTTGATGTACATATACCATCTGCAGTAGCCCTGCCTGCCTACCAGCGGTTTACAGGGACCGGCTGCAGAAACCCTCTGTGCATGACGGTTAATTAATTCTGAGCTGGCTTTTTGTTCCGGAACGGTGTTCCATCTCAGCTGAACCTCGCTGATCGACCTATTACAGAATTTCCTTGTGTGGAATTATTGATATCATTATTATTATTATTTGTTCTGGAGGTGGGGGCAAAGAGTGGTGAATGAAAGAGGTACCTTTGTCAGTGCATCTACTAGCTAACTAGTTCATTAAGTGATTGGTCACCCGTTTTTGTAGCCCCAGCGGGAGGGGAGCAGCGCTCTTACCCCTCCATGATAGGAGCAAATCCCGAATATTTTGTCAGCAAGCCACGACAATGGCATCGGCACCCAGAGGACTAAAAAGAAAAAAAATCAAAGGCCAATGGACGCTAAAGAGGGGGCCGTCAGGGGAACTCGGTTCAATATTACATCGGGGCTCGGACTGATTCCCGAGTGAGACTTGGTCATGCATCCTGGCATGTCAGTTCAGGTTCGGGCTAGAAAATGGTCGTACAAATCCCTCGGAATGACTACGTAGCTGCATGGGTGGCCTTCAGTAAATCCATTGTCTTATCCCAAATCACTCAAGCTTAAGGACTAAACTTTGTAGACGCCGGATTGCCAATCCACTGCAAGCCGAAGTCGTAGAATTAACGGAGGCCCATATACCTTTTGTATTGAAATACATAGAAACCAAGTAGCTGAATGCATATGGATGGCAGACTGTATACCCCAACTCCTATGGTCGGTTTCATCTTGGGGATATTTCTGCTTTGAGGCCTTCTTGGTTTCCCTACTGCCTTTGAACCTTCGCTATCGTATAGTACGGGCTCTTTCGCCGAGTCCTATACCAGATACCTAGGCGGGAATTATGCGGGATTTAGTGCGGAAGCAGGAAGGGTCGCTTCAGTCGGGCATGGTGATTGCGTGTTTGGAGGCAAGCTAGGCGGTTGGAAATAGTTACTAATATAGAATTCGACCCCATTGGGATGAGGCGTTGGCGAGGGGGGTAAGGCCATGCTTGGGGACTGACTGGGTCTGGATTTCAAGCGGGGGTGGGACTAAGTTATTCGATGAGAAGGGGCGAGTGGTGGTGAGGGGTGAGATCTAGAGGGCGTTTTGTTATAATTGTCATTCTTTCGCACTTATCGTTGACGGTCGAGAATAATGCTTGTATAGAAGCGCTTGGATAGAAGCTGCTTGCATCAAGTTTGGCCCAATATCTAGTAAGTCAAGACCTTGTGAATTCCTGGAGAATATTAGCGTCTTATCCACATATTCCCAACATCATTTGTTGTACAGTGGGATCCATGTCCTGATGATACTGCACTAATACACTGTTTTTTGCATGAGTTAAGTTTTGAGTTAGCTCTGGGGTAGATTTTCCAATGCAATAGAAGTAACCATCCCACCTGTTATATCAGTAGAGGACATGCGAAAAGGTTTAAAAAATACATAGTACAGATTGCGGTAAACTATGGAAATACCAGAATAGAAATTCTCAAGATGGTTGAATATATGTATTTGATCTATATAGCACTCATTATAGCGGTTGATAGTGTGTGTGTAGACGGTAGTAGTGGTCAGAGACCACGTAGGCAGAGGTGGCGGAGGATCAGGTAATGCCTGGCTACAGTGAAAGTCCCAACAGAATTGAAAACCGGTCCGATTGGTACCTTTTTGAACTGTGAAAAGGAACAAAGTAAAAAACAATTATAATGAATCTGATGCGCTCCAACACTGTAACTATAGCGAGTATCTATCCACTCAGGGATCGGTTCCTTGCCTTTCAATGTCACAGCACCACACAAACCCAGTAAATCATAAATTCAACTAAGCCAGTGAACTCAGACCGGCCAACTGGTACGCAGCTGTACTCAGCGATGCACCTGTAACGTCCCAGGCGGGCACATGGGCCGCCTGCGCATCGATGGTGAAAGACACTCTGTGGTCGGGGCTCAGGTGAAGCGTGAACAGCGAGCCGTCGAAGCCACCGCCGCCGCCGCTCCCCATGAGGGAATTTGAGCTCACATTCTCGACCTTGACTGTCTCGCGAGATGTGGTGCGAGCGCTCACGGCACTAGAGTCATCCCAGGAGACCGCACTCTTTCGTTGTCGAAGCTTCTCTAGGGGCAAGTCCGGAATACGGCCGGGGGTTATGGAAGAAGTATCCACCTTGCTGCCTGCGGCTGTCGAGCTCGAGGTAGCAACAGGGGCGGAGGTAAAACGCCTCATGGTCATCTTGATGGAGGCGTTAGTCTTCGCTTGAAGCCCAGTAATGATGGCCGACGTGCCGGCCTCCGCAAGAGCGATCTTCAACAGACCGCCTGTCTCTAAGTTCACACTCGCACCCGCGACACCCCCAGCGATACCTCCGACAAACCCAGAGAACAGATCGTTGCCAATACTGCTGAGCGTGGGTTTTGTTCCCGTAATTCTATCATACACGGCTCCGGAGGCCGCACTGGTAAGACCCTGAAGCACGGCGCCCGCGAGCACGGTGAAGGCCAAGCCGAATCCGGCCCCACCAGTGAGTACGGTGAACGCAATACCAACTGCCACGCCTGCGGCAAATTGAATAAGGGTCCGCAGCCAACTGAAATGGCCGCTCGGGTCGGCGCGGTTGATGGGATCTGCTAAACAGTAGGCGTACGGGTTGATTTCCCCCGAGGTGAAGGGGGTCCACGCATCCGGCTGGAGGAAGGTCTTTAGACTCGGGCTGTATACCCGGTAGCCTGACCCCAGATGGTACCACCCAGTGATGGGGTCTCGCCATTGTCCGTTGAAGCCAATGGCTGCCCCCCCACCAGTGCTGATGCCGTAGGGCGTATACGCCTGGTCGTGGACCTGGTCCGCATCCTGCGGGTCCAGCCAGGTGGAAACGGAGTGGTGGGCGTCAGACGCCCAGATTTGAGTATGAACATTGCCGCTCCCTTGCTGCTGCACCTCGCCCCAGTACACTTCGCCGTCCGACATGAAGCTAGTCTGATTCTGCTCCCCTTTGGTGATTGCGATCAAGCTGTCTCCCCGGTAGAAAAATTGGGTGTCCGGCTCGTTGGGAATTGACTGGCGCACAAGTCGGTCAGTTGCATCGTACCCATACTCGCAGAGGAGCTGGTTCTGGCTATCGTATACCGCGGCCAGCAGACGCGATGCATTATAGACAAGCGTCCGACCCTGCTCATCCCGGGTCAGACAGCCGTTCTCATCGTACTCAAGGTCAATCACCGCCGGTTCGTCGGAGTGTGAATTAGTGATGCGAACCAGCTGCGTCGGGTCTTGGGCACTGTATGTATAAACCTGCAGGTTGTTGCTGCCATCCACAAACGTTGTCTGGATCTGAGTGAAGCCGTCGTAGCTATTGAGTGTAAACTGCTGGCGGCGAATGGCTCGACCGCGCTCATCCACGGGGGGCTGTGTGCCCTGGCACTGGTAGTCTACCAATCGACTTAAACTGTCATAACCAAAGGTTTCCCGCCGCATCTGGGTGTTATTACCATCGCTTCGGCTGCGTGTAGTGATCAGCCCCGTGGCCCCGTAGGACTGAGTAGTCTGGGATACGAGTGTAGCTCCGTTTGAGACTGTTCGGCGGATTTCTCGGCCGAAATCGTCATAACTGATTTTGACGGTCAGGGCCACGCTCTGGCGACTATCCTGGGTCACTGTCATGGTAACGCGGTCTGACCGATCATAGCTCAGCGTGGTCTTGAGCGTCCCAACACTGATCTCCTGCCGGCGGCCATACTCATCATATTGGATCACATGCTGTTTTCCGGTAACGTCGGTATATTCTTGCAGTTTGCCGGCTTGCGAATACACATACTCCACAGCACGAGCCCCTTCGGCAGTTTGAATGGTCTCCTGGGACAACAAACTGGATGGATAGTAGCTGAGGTTGGCCGGGGCAAGCGAACTGTCCAGCTGCAGGACATTCCCAGTTTGTTTATCATATTGGTAAGCATCAGTTTTATCATTGGTAACCCGTCTTGTCAGCGCATAATCTAAGGCCGGCTCATACATGTGTTCGGATCGTGCACCCTTGGGGTTGGTGACCTGGGCAGGGACGGGGGCGCCACCTTGATAAATATTGCTGGTCTTGCGCCCGCCGACCATCGTGTATAGTGACCGCTCCAAGCCATCAAAAGATTGCTCACTGAATCCTGTGGTCCCTTGAAGATTGATGGCCACCGGCAGGGCTGCCGTAGTCTGAGCCGCATACTGGGTGGTGATGGCATGGCCATCAGCCCAGGTGGTCTGGACCACGCGGTCAAAGCTATCGTAGCTATACTGCGTGGCACGGCCTAGGGCATCGGTCAACCGTCGGCGGCGCCCCAGACCATCATAGGCATACTCAATCGTACCCTCGACTGCCCCAGTGCTCTGGACCAGCGACTCGGCTATCGGGGCTTGGAAGGCATTATATTGAATCCGTGTCTGGCCTTCGCCTTCATTGCCCACTGATAAGGTCAAGGAAATAGGATCAGTCTCGGAAAGCTGGACCGCTCCACTGTTCTTCGTCACCTTGTAGACCTGGCCCCAGTCATCATACTCGAATGAGCGGGTGGTCCGCAGCTCCTTGGGCGTACCACTGGTACGCAGCCAGTCAATGTCTACCTCTGTACTGCATTGATCGATCGAGTTATACTGGCGCTCTCGGATTACCCGGAACGTCCCGGTATAGGTCTGATATTTGTCCCAGCTGCCATCGTCGTCTTGGGCCTCCACACGGACCACACGATCCATGCCGTCAGTGAAATACCGCGTCTGCACCCCCTTGGTATCTGTTACCGTGACCTGCCAGCCAACGGCTTTACTCAGGATCACATATTCATGCTTCTTCGTGGCCTCGAAGGCAGTTCCAGTGGCGGTGCTGGTCTGAATCACTCGCCCAATCGCATCATACTGCTGGGTGGTCTTGGTGCCGGCGCGGTCCTTGGTGGCGAGGGTCAGCCCTGAGATAAGGGAGGAGGTGGTTTCTTCCTGCGTGGTCTGGCTATCGAAGCTGGTCATGGTTGTGGTCTCGGTCAACTCCGAAGAGCTAGTACTGTAGGTCCATTTATATGTTGTGGGATTCTTGTTGAGTAGGCGCGAGACTTGCTGCTGGCGTCGGCCATGATCACTGGACTGCGGCTGGTTGATGTACGTATAATCTGTGGTAGCAAGCGTCTGGCTATCCTCCGTCATCACCCGTCTTTGGGCTACCACATGATAGTCAGTCAAGGCGTCGGCGACCGTGGGAATCTGAAGATAGGTGTAGTCATGAGCTCGCGTAGGCGTCTGATATGCGCTGGCTGCGGGCGTCACAATCTCCAGCTTGAGATAGTTTTGGAATCCATGTGGATCGGCAGGACACAAGACTTGGCCCGACGCCGAGTCGCCAGCAGCGGCATAGTACTCACGGGTGGTCGCAAGGCCACTCGGAGTGGTTTCACTGGTCTGGTTGCCCCAGTCGTCAAACGTGAACTGGCTCGTCTCGGCGCGTGAACTTCCCGTAGACGTGTTCCGGTAGGTGGTGGTCTGGGCCTTTGGCAATTTATACTGGGCGGGTTGGCTATCAAATGAGGTATTGCTGAGGGCGTAGTAGGTGGTGGTCTGTGTGACCTGCTTCGTGCCCTTCTGCTGTTCCCGGCTAACCTCCAGATGGAATTTGTTGTATGTATGTTTGGTGGTGGTGCCACCCACTATCTGAGCTGTCGAGGTGTACTCATAATCCGCCGGGGTCAGGTAGAGGTTATCCCCGTCGTTGTTCCAGTTCCGACCTCCGCCGTAGCCGAGGAAGTTACGGTCTGAGTAGCTGTAGGTGGTTTGGATAGCGGGCTGGTCATGGAAGGGCCGCGCCGTATGAGAGATGACATACGGGATAGAACTGACCGGCGCGCCACTCGGCAGCGAGAACCCTGGTGTCTTGTAGGAGATCTCTTCTGTTGCGCCTGTCGGACTGGTGACATTGGTCAGCCCCCCCGTCCCATACGTGAACTTCCACGCAGGAGAACCATCCAGTGGCAGACGGAGCTCTGCCAGCTGATTATTCTGCTTCACCAGTGTAAAAGTCGCGGCCTCGGCGGTTCCCGGGGCCCGGGTAATAGTGGTGTACGTATTGTAGGCGACCTCGAGCAGGTTCTGCGAATCGGACTGAACCATACTGAGCCGGGGCTGGGTGCCTGAAAACACCCAGGAGAGCTTCAAAGAGCGGCCATTGGCACCATAGATATCGGTGGGTACACTGACAGTGGACCGGTTGAAGTTCGAGAGCACTTCCACCTGGCCTGACTTGAGGATGACGCGGTAGCCCATGGTGCCCGTTTTCTGGAAGGCGAAGTCCTTGAGCTTCTGGTCGGCCACGAAGACCGAGCTCGTGGTTTCAGTGACTTTGTAGTTTTCTCCAGTGGACAGCATCAGGGTCTTAGAATTCTGGTCGTAGGTGGAGAGGTTGCCAAAGGACCAACCCTTGCCCAAGCCGACATCGTCGCTGTTCAAGGGATTATAGTGAAGGAATAGATTAAGCGGCGGGCAGTTACGAACCCCAGCCGGCACTTCATAAAGAGAAATGGAGCAGTTGTATTGGCCGGTACGAGGATCGACGCCCTTCTCAATGTAGGAGTTGAAATTGAAGCCCTGGGAGTAGATCGACATGATGAGATGGAGAAATAGTAGAAACAATTGGGGTGGTGTTTGAGGTGCCACTAGGGTGCGGAGGAATGAGGGTTTTTATAGCACTCCTTCTTCCTTCTCCCCTCCCCCTTCTCTCTCTGCCAACGTCGGCAGAGTGAAAGAGCCCTCTCGGCTGATATGATCGGTTTTGGAAATCGTACGAGGGATATCCCTGATGGAGGGATTACACTAAGCGATTGGATAGATACTAACGTCTACTTGCAACATGCGGAAGTTTCCTATTTCCAAATCCCGATTACGGTTGCACTGGGAAGTATAGAGAACTGGCCGATGCATGATTCATATTGTACAGAGCTTAGTATAAGTTGATAAGTTGCTAGGATGGCTGTATACCCCTCTTCCTCAATATCACTAAAAACATCCAGGCCCTATCATTGCTCCAGTCGACGCCCGTTCAATAAAAGCAAACCCCGAGATGTTGGCAATCGAGCGAGACAGCGCAGGGTGCATCTTGCGATGGCTCCATAAGTTATATTAACTGAATAGCATGAAGTACTTTGGTTCGGTTCTAATGAGCTGAGACGGAAATTGACTGATGGCACCATCGAGAAGCGGGGATAATAACAACTGTCCTGGTCGCAGAGCCATTTGTGTGGATGAGGTGCTGGCGTCAACACAACTAGACGGGGAACCCTGTCTTCAGCTGGTAGAACATGTAATTAGAAGAGGTCAGGGTAACCTTGATCAGACGATAGGAAATAGATTCAGATGACAGCCTTTTTGGTAGGAGAAAGCTAGATGAATAGGAAATTGGCCCCGACGACCTCGAACTGGGTGAGGCCATGGTGTATGGCTTTCGACTCCGTTCATGCAATTGGCAACTTGTGGCCCTTGTTACCTTACCTAGTCTTCCTAGTAGTTAGCTAACAACGAAAAACATACTCCATGTGTAAGCATAATGTGCCCAGATTTACAAATACATACGAACTGAAGGTATCTCAGGTAACCCGTGAGTACCGGCCAAGAGCCCATGGAAATTGCGGCAATGTTGATTCCCCGAATCTAGGTAGTGTGATTATCTAGTCCAGCACTTTCTGAACACATCAAGTCAGGCCAAGATAACCAAGTTCGGGATTTGAACTTGCAGTCAGAATCCACTAATACGGCGCTTGTCAGCAAAGACCCAACTACCAAGCTTAGCGTCCGTGGGCATGAATCATTTCATTGCTACCGCATTGGTCCTTTACTCTCGACACGAGTCCTGTTTTCAACACTAACATGACCTAGACAGCGTTATTTGCCACCCTGCCAATTCACTAGGCGTGACGAGAGGATTGTTTTCCAGCTTCGGATCCTCATTAAAAATCCTGATTGACAGCAATCAAGCTCTGCTCAAATCTATTGGCTGGACGGACGAGTACGGGAAGAGGGGCCAGGGTCATCTAGTGTGGAATTACCGCAGAAACTCACGGATCTCGTACCTCTTCAGGATCGTCTTGCATCCTTCATCTTTCCTTTCTCTTCGCAAGCGGAGCGGCCGGCCGGCCTGGTGGGGTCCTGGAGTTGCGGTTAAAAATTACCATCCAGATAATACACCCGATACGCTAGTACACAGCGAGGCCCCCGGAAATGACCTCCACCATCCTTCTGACCAATACTCCAGAGTGATAAGAGTCTTCGAGGGTTACATTTGGCTTCATAACAGGACAGTTGAGCCGATACAAAGGAGGCATAACTGGTGTCACACTCAAAGACGATCAGCAAAGCTAACTGCGATCTTTCAATATGAGCTTATGCTCTAACGAGCAAAGGTGCAAGCACATACACGACCGGGATTTGATGGGAGTATAATATGTTACATCCCTGTAATTTTGCATACAAAGTATCCAATGACAGTCACGTCCTCTTATTTGCCACCGCACAATATTCGTGATCCTGTGACTAAGACTAAATTATGGATAAACTGTACGTTTAGTGCACTTCATCATGTCAATGATAAGGTGCAGATGATCCACACTACCTCTCAGCTGAAGAGGAGCACTCACCCGGAGCAACACTGTAATCAGGTGTGCAGCCAATTCGCCCTCAACTATAGGAAAGTCTAGGATAATTTTCTTCGCATATTACTTTCATTGTTCACCTGCAACTAGAGTAATGTCTTATTATCCTGGACATTTCTCTAGTTGAGGGCGAACTTGGCTGAATCACCAGTTTGGCCCTTGCCATATTGCTTTTCGTGTTTTAGTATACCCATGGATTATCCGCCCTAACCCACATGACTGTACAGTCCTTCACTTTTAGAACATCTTTCTAATTCTAACCCATGTCAGTGTCACCATGCCTCACTTTGAGTCTCGGACAATCTCCGGAGAAGCCTCGTCGCATCAGCAGCTGGTGGCCTTTGAATTCACCTCAATTTATGCTAAGCCCTTGCTAGCTCGGCCAGCTGGTGCCCGCCAATCCTTTGATACCTTTCTCACCGCATCCTAATTGTAGAATCCCAAGCAATTGGGCCATTGATGACAACCCAATTCCTGGAACAAATCCCGAAGTAAGTCACTGCAATCAAATCCAGGATCGCAATTGGCACAATGGATAAGCTGTAGTTGCTTTTGATGGATTCAATGTTCCCTTTACTTGCCGATAGTGCATCAGACTAGTAGAGACGGGCGCGGCCCGCTGATCACACCCGCTTGATCTAAGTAGATGCAAATCCCGGTGGCGATACTCTAAGCGCTCTAAGGCACGAGCTCTATCCTCCATTCCAATTATTTAAAGGTCAACAATATCCCTCCAACAGGACTTATATCCACAGCAAGCATCCGCTCATCCCACATTGTTAAAGCATTCTCTACTCTTGATATCCTTCAATATGTTATTCAACAAGTCTCTTCTGGCTACGACTGCCCTGTCCCTCTTCACCTCGAGTGTTGTTGGCCAGACCATTAGGGTCCGTAAGATCATTTTCTTGTCATTTTTCTGGCTACTACATACCTGTATGCCATACTCATAGTATTTCTAGGTGTCATATGGCTCCCCTCTGCCGACTGACGACTTCTCTCAAGTCATCGAATTAGATGAACTTGTGGCGCTGGACCACCCGTATGATCTCTTTCCATCCCCACAACCAATCATACCTCTAACCTTCTCAGGGGCGATTGGGTCTACTTTTTCTCTAGCCAACCCTGTGATCTTTACAGGTGAGTAGGCTTATACGCGCCCCCCCCCCCCCCCCCCCGGCGGGGTTTCATTCATTTACTTATTCCCCTCATCTACAGCAACACCTCCGCTACCGAACCAGTTTACACCAAGGTCATAGGCGCATATTATTTTCTTCAGCCGACGTACATTGGCGCCGCCGAATGTTTCACCGATTGATGAGACAACTCATCCATCTAGCTCGGCTGGAGTGCAATATATGGTACTTCCGATACACATAAGATGCTCCCGATCTTGCCTACGCGTGATAAGGAGCATCCCATGAAGATCAGATAATCTAGCACGCGGTCTCGCCTATAGAAAGGCCCCATCTTCCTGTCGTTTAGCTCATTCTATCACAACCATCAATTATATGAAGTCTTTCGTGGATTTTTACTATTTGAATCTGTGGTTTTGGATGTAATTGAAGACCTGGTTCCACTCGAACCTGTAAGGCCGGGATCAGCCCATGCTTTCTGCGGTACCTATATACCCCAAGGGTTTCGTATCCATCATAGATCTAGCAACTCCACATCTCACCCCATTAAGACTGCGTATGTATGCTGTGCTGCATATATGGATCTTGACATCCTGTGCTCGTGGTCTTGCTCTCTGTCATAGAGGCAGGATACAGTCTTTAGACAAGAGATTATAGGAGAGACAGAGAGATAGCATTTACAATGTTCATTCTTATCGTGAGTGCGTATCTTGAGAGATACTAGGGAAGGCCCGCATTTATCGCCTGATTCGCCCTCTATTTGGTGCCATTGACTTCATCAGTAAGCGTAACAACCTCAATAGGGGGAAAAGCTCGCTGTGATGGTATGGGGAGGGATGAGTGGAGTCTAGGCTCAGGCAGCGGGGTGACTGATGATCGTATTATTAGCGAAGTGGAAAGAGAATCTGTGGTTTTTGCGGTCGCATATCAATAGCTGCGGAGACCCAATCGCATAAGTCTAGCGATCCTTCCATTCGAGATCGCAGGAAAGGGGTTGAATGGGGGAGAAAGAATGCGGAGCGATCCAAGATGTTTTCTGTCGTACGTCGATAGCTGTGCAGGCTGAAAGCCACAAAGTCTAACTACTCTTGCGTTCGGGGCTAGGCGGAAGGCAGATGGGGCATGGAGCAGAGCTGAAAAGGGCAGCCAGCTGGTCTCCAGGGACTCGAGGTAAAAGAGGAGATTGCTGGCACCCGGGGCAGATGCATGTTCGGGGGTTGGTACTCATTCCAGAATTGGCATATACTCTTGTGGAAATATTCAACTTCAAGGAAGGCTGATTGCTCCAGGGTTGATCTGGAATAATTAATTGACCCGACGGTTGGGACAATGGCTTTAGTTTGTTAGTGGCCGTGGCCGTGGTCGTGGAATATACTTGAATGCGTTTGTAAGATAGTCTAGTAGGGAAATCGTCACAACGGGACAACGGTCAAATGATGTCTGATAGATTTTTAAATAATATTATTTAATAGAGCTTTCTATAAGGAATACAGTACTATAACTTTTACTTCTTTATTTAATTATTCTGTAAAATTATAAGTATTTAAAGATAATAGTATACATTTCTGAATTTAGTTAATATATATAACAGAAATTTAAATTAGGTTAGTATGCTTTTCCACAGGTATTAAGCCTAATTAAATTTATTAAATATTATAAAAATAAATATTATAATTATAAGTATTACTCTAATAAGCATTATATAAATTAATATATTAATATATTTATAAATTCTAAGAATCCTAATCTACCTGGAAAGATTAAATTAAATATATTTATTAGTTAATAATATTTATTATGCCTAAGTTATATATCTTTAAGAGATATCTCTTTTTATAATATTAATATATAATAATCTATGTACACATTTCTATCTAATTATAAAAAAATAAAGATTATATTCTAGCCCGCAGGCTGTAAAGATAATAATATTATAAAAATAAAATAAAAATTTAAAAAATAATATTATATTAATTTAATTAAATCTATATAATCCTGCTAAGCTAGCAGATAATAAAAGAAAATAATATAATAATTAATAATTTTCTTATAGTTCTTGTACTTGAGTAATATTCTTTCTAGAGAAAATATAGAAATTAATATATAAACTAATATTATATTTATTTATAATACTATTTTTCTTAATATATCTAATCTTTTTACTTCTCCTGTAGCTAGTGAGATATAAAAAAAAAGAAATTATTAAAAAAATAAAAAAAAATAAAAATAATCTATTTATTATTATATTTTAATCTTTATAATCTTATTAAATTATTAGATAATAGACCAGATAATAGTTATTATATTATAGAAAGTTCTTATATAATAAGAATCCTCTGTCTTCTTAATATACTTTATCAGCTTATCTCTTTATATAATTATTAAGCTTATATTATAATAATTATTTTTAATCTTTATAATTTCTGTAGAAAATAGATTATAAAGCAGATAATAATATTTTTATAATAATAAAAGTTTTTTTTTTATTACAGAGGCTCTCTGTCTTCTTGATATATTTTATTAACTTGTTTTTTTATATAAATAAAGTGTTACAGACCCCTGCTAGTTAACCTACTAGCAAGACGGACTTGCCAGGCAGAAAGTACTAATAAAGATAGTGCTCAGGCAAAACCAAATTAGTATTTAGTATAATTTCAGATTACTTTTAAAATATTTAGAACAGCTATATATTATATAATTATCTATTATTAAATTTATTATTAGAGGTATACTCAGAGTATATAAAAATCTCAGGATTAATTATTAATCTACTCTAGAGTGGGCAATGGCCAGGTCAGGTCAGGTTATCAGTAATTCTTATATCTGACTATCAGGTTAATAGTCAGGTTAAGAGAATCCTTATACTTAATTATAGTATAACTAAAATTAGAATAATTAATTATTTTAACTAATTTTGGTACTAAGACCTGTCTATTATATTTATTTAAATATTAATATAATTAAGATATACTCAGGTTAATTTCTGTTTAATTTATTTTTTTATATCTTTGTCTATAAGTATATTAAAATTAATATTTATAATTTATTAAATCTATATAATAAAGGCAGAAGGACTATTTTTATATATTATTAATTTAATAAATTTAAGATAATCTTTAGTATTAGTTAAAATTAATTTTTCTAATCTGAATTCTATTTATTATATAAAATATTTATATTATATATATATATACAGCCCTGTTCTGATAGTATATATTTTATATAATATTTTTTATATTATATAAATAATTTATTTAACTTATTATAGATTTTAAATAATTTTTTAATTTATAATAATTAAAATATATTCTTAACAAGTATTAAGAGTCTTTAAAATAAGTATTATAAATTAAATTTATTCTGAATATCTATTTTATTAGATAATATTTTTTTTTATAAATTAAAATATTAAATTTATATTATTCCAGCCGCCGGCAGCTCTGACTGTAAAATATAATTTTTAATATAATTTAAAAAAATTAATTAATATTATATTACTTATATTTTCTAAGTTATTATTATTAATTTAGCTAAGTTTCTGAGAGACTTTATTAGAAATATATTTATATATTATAAAATATTCTAATTTCTAGATTAATTATTTATATATTATTTTTAATAAACAGTACTTAGCAGCTGCTGGTTATAATAATATTAAATTATATAATATTAAATTTATTAATCTTAATCTAGTTATAGTCTTTAACAGCTATATAAATAATATAATTAATATTATATTTTACTATAAAAAGAAGTAAATAATTACTAATTTAAAAAATAATATAATTAAAATCTAGAATACTTATACAAGCAGCCTGCAGTGTAATTATATATATAAAGCTTTAGTTAATAATATTATAATTTATTTTAATTAAAATAAACTTGTTAATATATTCAGATTTAGAATCTAGATAAAAATATTTATATTTACTAGTTAATTTCTGAGAATAATATTATTATTTATAATATTAATATTATAAGTAATAGACCCCTGCTCTATACTAAAAATAAAAAAATAAAAAAAATATTTATTATTTATTTTTATTACTGATTTTAAGTAATTAGTTTATAGAATAATATCTATATCTGGTATATTATCTAAGATATTAAGATAATATATATTTTTTTAATATATATTTTTTATTTATATAAAAATTATCTTATCTATATTCTACTCTTTCTAGATTAAAAATATTTTATAATATTTTAATAAAATAATATATATTAATGTATAAGAAATAAAAGTTTTTTATAAAAAATTTATATAGCTAGTTTAATAATGAAATACTAGTTTATTTATTTTTAATTAAATATATATTATTATTAGGAAAGCTTAATATTTATTTTTTATATTTTTTTTAATAGTTTTTTTATTCTTATCTGTAGCTTTTTTATCTATTTTCTTATTTTAGAAAGTCTTATTTTTGATAGTCTTACTTCTAGTAATCTTATTTAAGATATTAATTAAAATTTTTTTAGTTAATAAGACCTTAGTAGAGATATTTTTCTTATATAAGATTTATTAATATTTTAACTTTTTATTCTTATATTAATATTTTTTTTTTAAATTATACTTTATATTCTCTAGTAGAGTTATAATTATATTTAAGATTTTTTCTAGATTATTAATATTATTTTTCTATTTCTTGTCAATATTTTTAAGATATAATAATTATTTATTTTTAATAATTTAATAATTAATCTTAATAAAATCCTTCTCTAGTTCTAGTAAGAAGAATAATAAAAATAATATAATTATTATTACTCCTGGAAGAGCTTTTTAGATTACTTAGTTATTTAATATAATTTAAAAAGAATTAGATACTTAATAATTAAAAAATTATATTATCTATATTTATTTTATTTTATTTATTTAATTAATTATTTATTTAATTATAGCTTGAGTAAGAGCTATTAAGAAGAGATAAATATTTTTATAATATTTTTATAGATTTAATCTAGCAGAATTTATTATATATAATATTATAAATATTATATTAGAGTCATGCTTTTTATTAAAACTAGTTATTAATTTATAATATTTTTTATTATTTAAATTATTATATAATATTATATAGTTGAATCCCGTGGACTTTAATATTATATATATATAGATTTTTTTTTTAGAAAAGAAGATTTAAATCAATATTTTCTTCTTTTATATAAGAATTTAATTATGTAAAATTTTGATTATAAACTATATTTTAAATAATTTTTTAAATATATTAGCTAGTCTTATTATATTTTATTTAAAATTACTTTCAGGTAGTTTTATAAGTTATTAATAAAATTATTATATTTTATTATTTTTAACTATTACCTCTTGCTTCTTGAGTTTTATTAAAAAAATTAAGATTAAATTTTT